TAATAAAAGTTAAACAGACCGAAGCAACAAACAACTTCATCCCCGGTTAACATTTTGTCAAACCAAGATTAGGCAACATTTACCGATGAGTCTCATTAACAACCGCTTACAGCGAGCTCTGTGCACCACGAGAACTGAGCGTGTAAACTGTAAGTCTGCCTCTGTCGATATTTATAGACCCGTGTTGGTGCTGAAACGTGGAAGTAGTGGGACGTTTCACAAAGGACGGGCTTTGAGGCGTCTTCATTCTTGGTAACACAGAATTAATGGTTTCGGTGACTTAGTGCAGAATTAGCTTCTGTGCTCGGATGTGCGTTATTTCAGTGTCGCTGCACGCCACCTATACAGTCCTGTTTTGTGATAAATGCCACAGGGAGCCGTGTGTCCGTCCCTGGTCAACGTGCAGGATCTACGTGACGTCAGCAGCACAGGAAGACGGTGCCAGGGCGCTTCCTGCTGCGTGGTGGAGGCAGACATATGTCGCAGCAAAGCGCCGTGGCCAGAAGTCACTCTTCATAGAGGGACGGAGGGAGAGGAAGGGGAGATGGCTGCAGTTGAGTCATGTGATCAGGGGAGCCATACACCGCTTTGTGTTCCATCTCTTTAGTGCCAAATTTCACTCACTGCCACAACACATTTACCTCAGTACATCCTTTCATCGTGGTCCTATCCCAGCATGCTCCTCTGTCACACCAACCCTCTGTACCTCCTTCTTCACTGCATCGACGGATCTTCTTTGAGGTCTTCCTCTGGCAGCTCCATGTCCAAACCCTCTCAGCCTCTCTGACTCACATCTGTCCCTCTGATGGACTCATTTCTGGTCTAGTCTACTGTGCAATGAAAATCTCAGCACATTCAGCTCAGCCTCCTGTCTTGTTCTCAGCGCCACCGTCTCTGAACCGCCCATCACAGCACGTCTCTCTCCATCATCTTGCAAACATTCTCTTGCTGCTATCTTTCTATCACAAATCACCCGTCAGTGTGTCCTTGATCCCTGACTCAAATATCTTATTTTCTTTAGATTGTTGGATACAGTCCAAGCCTATCAATAGATATCACCCACCTGAGTCATTCAAATAACCTTCAGCTATGAGCTAGGATATTTCTGAGCCCGTAAAGGTCAGTTATTGTGTATTTTTAACTATTAAATTTAATATATATACTTCAATACATATTTTAATAAATAAAATAAATTAAACAGCCATTTAAAAAGACAGCTAAAGGTCTGTTACAATGTTGGACGTCATCCAACCCATCATCCTCGGAGGTTTTGCTCTTGTGATGGATTTGAGTTTGCCCTTTCTGTGCTGTGTAGCAACATGAAACACATAAAACACAATGGTGTCCGGACTTTGATTAATCATCGTCATTGCAATCTCAATAATTCTCAAGTGGAGAAAAGGTTGAAACATAATTGTCCTGAAAACAAAACCTGTGCAAACAACAAGCAAAAAGTTAAAATAACCAAGATTTTTGGACCTGATTTGCAACAGCAGCGCTTTGTTTCGCCAAACATAGAAACTAGGGCTGCACAATTGATAAAATTTGAGTCTCAATCTTAAATTTCTGGCTTCCCACAGTTAACTAAATATAATTAAGCAACAATAAAACTGCTCTGCCAAATAGAAATCAAAGCAAACCCCAATCAAACGCTTGCTAAATGACCACACGGCTCTGTGTGCCAATAACAGCTGTTCCTGCACCGCACAGCCTGAAGTCTCCAGAATGAAGAAAGAACAAACTGTGAGACAACAGATCTACAACAAAATTAAACGGTCTGGTCCGTTGTTAGAGATAATCTTGATATGGGGAAAGTTAACTAACACAAATCATACACAAAGATGTGGGTCTGAACTGCAAAGCAACACAACCTGAAAACCACACCACAAACTGCAGTTTATCGCCCAACATTAACAACATCGTCAATAAAAACAAGCGTGTACAAAACATCAGTGCATCCATCGAGCTCACAAAGATGCACTGAAATTATCAAGGAGACACACAGACACAACTTTTAGTGTTGGAGACAATCACAATAGATCATCTAAACTCTGTAAGGTTTTCAAACCTTTACAAAGAAAATGTCAGGCTGCAAAGAACGTCTCCACGTGGACATTTAAGAGCATCATCAGGACTTGTTCTGAAAACTCTTAGAGGGTTTTTGTCTGTCTGCACTTATGCACGATTTCTAAAACTATGTTTGTAAACAGATATCATTTTTGCATATTTTAAACTTCTGAATGTAATCTCAGCCTTCAGATGCTAAGCTTTTCACTCAATGGCTGTAATCTTCTTTGGGACTGTGGACCATTACTGTGACACTGTGGAAGTACAGCTTACTGCGCAAACAGAGTCACGGACAGCAGTTTGTATGTATAGTATTCAAGCTACTCATTAGAGACAACTGCAAGTCAGAAAAAGCAATTTAGAGACTGCTTGTGATCTATTTCAAAGAACAAAACAAAGCAGACACAATATTTCTGTCCTTTTGGGCTCGTGCAAACCTTTCTGCCTTTACGCCAAATTTAATTTGACCCATTTCAAGATTTAAATCTGCATTTTATGCCTAAAAGGTGGAGAATTCATTTAACATTATATGGAAATGACTGGTGACGACTGGTTCCCTTCCATACCACATGCACTGGACAGTACTCTGCATGCTGTGCACACTGACAAGGCGGTCGTGACTTCAGGCTTTAAACTGCAGCTGAGCCTGTGGTAATGCCCCAGGCTCACTCTGGCTGCACTACCAGTCTGCTCTCTGCTAATTGAGGCGTTGAGACTGTAGTTTGCAGGCAGCTTTAATCTGACACACCCGTGGGCTAGCAACCATCTACAAAGCATACAGAAACACAAGCCCGTACACACAGACGCACACCTGCACAGACACTCGATGGCTCCTCGGCACCTGTCAGGGTCACACTTGTAGGGGTGAGGCAATAACGCTGACAGATTTGCTGTGCGGTGAGGGGAGGTAAATTAGTAGATTTATATGATTCAAGGAGAGATTCTTCAGCTCCCCAGTGACCAACCTGCATAAAGACCCTGCACCCAGTATAGATGTGTATAGACAACCGGCATCCAGAACAGTCTAATCCATCTTAGTCCACAGCAGGATGTTACACACAGAGTTTCCCAAAAGGTCCAGAGACCCAATGTAACTTATGCAAATATTAATCTGTAACACATTTAAACAAAACCATATTAGCATTCATTGCAGCTGCATGTTTGTCCACCCATGCATGAACGACTTTTATCACGCTTCTTCCCTGTTCAGGGACGAGTGTGAGGAAACAAGGGCAGTGGCAAGCGAAGCAAGTCAACAGAAAAGGAAAATATTTTCATAGCTGCGGGCAGAGTACAGTCGCAGGCACAAAGTCAGTGGATTTAACCATGACGTCTGAAACCGTAAGACCCTCATACATCACAAAACCGCTACACTTCTCTCAAGGACGACGTGGAAACAGAATGAATAAGCTCAGAGGCCCGTCTGAGGATACACGACGCCTCCTTTTTTTTGAGCTCTGAGGGCGCGCTGCTCAGGATGAAGTGGTTTTTCCCCAGAGTGATAGAGGGTCAAGTGGGGGCCACCTACCTATCAGCCTGAGGGTGGCAAAAAAGGCTTTTATTAGAGCAAGAACACAACCGAGTCCAAAGTTACGCTTTTCACAATTTTGGAACGATGCATTAAAGACAAACAACTAAGATTAATCGTGTTGATAAAAATTATCCATCATCATTAAACCTCCAGAAGAAAACAAAATGTATTCACAACAAAACTTTGTGCACTCAGTCACGCTAATGTCACGCCGCTCCAAATGATTCACGGTCTGATGGCGGCGTTTGTTTTGCTGAGCAGTGCGGTACAGTACAAATGATACAGAGTGATTGGGATCTGCTGACGAATCGATCAATAATCCTTCATCTCAATCGCTCTCACATTAACTGTGATACCCTGCTATCATTTCTGAGAAGTGATGCTATCATCATTTACAACAGCCTCTTTTCTACTGTCTCATAAGACAAGTCTTGTGAAATAAGTCAGTCTTAAAATATCACTTAGTGATTAATTATGTCTATGTTTTAATAAGTTGTCTATTTTAAGTAACAGTGTCCACCTGGCCTATAGAGGATGCTTCATTCATTGCAATAAACCAATCATTAAACACAAATGTTACTTTTGTTTCAGTAGAAAGTGTCTCTACTGCCACTTTAAGAAAGTATTCCTTTGTGCCAGAAAGATTTTAACACATCTTACCAAGGATAATTTACAGCCACTTTGTCTTTAATTCTGTGCTGATTCATTGCCGTTAAATGTTTCAGACAGCAGGTTTAAATGGTAGCTCATCACTAAATCAACTAAATCACAGTAAAGAAAAAGAAAAACGGCTTTTCGGTTGAATCTCAGTCAAAACCCAATCACAGCTGCCGCAGCTAACAAAGCTTCGCTTCACCAGAAAAGTTGCATTAAAATAAAGAGGTGGGGCTGTGTCTCATACCACGAGATCATACAAGCCATTTTCTCACCACTCCACTTTTTCCTGATAATACACTTAACAGAAAACCCATCTTTATTCCTCCCCTCAAGGTCAGTGCATTTTCAGAGGAGACAGGTGAAACGGCGCAGGTTCTGGCCATCCCTCTGCATTTGCAAGTATGGATGGCATCCACTGTTTGTACGGCAAAAATAAGACACGTGGGTTTAAGTGATGAATGAGTCTGCAGCTCCTGGTGGAGCAAAATAAAACAGAACCACTTAGCTCTTGTCAAAGCTGCACTGCAGACTGGTTGGGCGACTCTCTTCCAGGTGTCCGAGGATGAATTATGTGTGTGTGCAGGCTTAGTGGTATGAGGGGGGTCCTCCAGAGATGTTGCTGCACATTTTCCAAACTGAATTGAGATAATCATTTGCTTTTTAATCAGCAACAAATTGTGTAGTGTGTGCCAACAAAGCATGAAGGTGTTTCCCAACATCACACCATATTGTCCTCTCCCTCCAGGGTGAGGGCTCCAACTTCCTCCAGCTGGGCTCCTCCATCGAGCAGCAGATCAACGGTATGTTCAAGGTGATGGAGGAATACAACTGGGACAGCTTTGTGGTCATAACCAGCCTCTACCCGGGTTACGAAGCCTACGTGGATTACATCAAGTCCTTTACTGACACCAGCTACTTCATATGGGATCTGCAGGATGTTCTGACCTTCGACATGTCCACTGACATCACGAACGACATACGAGCGCGGAGGCTGCTGCAGCAGATAGACGCCCAGGTGCTGCTGGTCTACTGCTCCCACGAAGAGGCCCAGTACCTGTTTGCCATGGCAGGAGAGGTCGGATTAGTGGGACCAGACTACATCTGGATTATCCCGAGCCTGGCTGTGGGAAACCCAGACATCCCTCCACCCGACAGCTTCCCGGTGGGGCTCATCAGCATCATTACGGACCGGTGGAGGATGAGCCTGAGGAAAAGGGTGCGCGACGGGGTGGCTATCGTCGTGAAAGGTGTCCAGAGTTTTCGAAAACAAAGAGGCTTCGTTCCCGAGGGCCACAGCGACTGTCACAACCCTGTCAAGGCGTTAGCTACCAATGACACCCTGTTCAGGTAAGCTACAATGTTGTGGGCCGCGCCTTTACTTTACTACCAACTGTTTCTGTCGGGTCTGCTGTTACATATCCTTAATGTAAAATAATTAAATTCTTTATAATATGATAAGTAAATTGCTAATGAAGCAGTGCCACCGGCCTCAAACTGTGTGACACAGTTTAACTTTACAAGAAAAAAATTAATTAATTAAAAGAGGTCACATGGACACTCTGTCAGGTAAAGTTGGCATAACAAAAGTTCACCCTGGTGTCTAATTTATCTGTAGATAAATTCAAATTCATATACTTACTTAAGTTCAGGAGAAGAATTTATTTTATTTTTAAGCTCCATCTACAGGTACAGGTATAAAAAGATTACTCCTCAGACTGCTTCAAATCACTTCAATGACATTTAAGACTAAACTTGCACTCGAAGTGAACATAAACTCCCCACAGAAAGGAAACAGGAAGTAAAATCCAATTTAGCTTAAATTTACACATTTTAATATATTTTTAAGACTTTAGAACCACTAATAAATTAGCCATTATATCTCATCTGTCATAAAATATACAGGTTTATTCAAACTGTGAAAAAGTTCAATTCATTCATCACTTGCGTGATAATAAGGTTAAATGTGATTTGGTGCTGACATGCAGGTATACTCTGTCACAGCTGTGGAAATTCTCACAATAATGTGACTAAAAACTTTTAACAACTAAACTCAGTTTAATAAGCCTCCCAATGAGGAGCATCACAGGAAAGCCTGGGAAAAAGAGCAGGAAGTATTAGATTTTACTGGCTAGCAGTTTGCAGGTGTGTGTTACCACAACTACACAATCCTCCTAGGACCTCGAAGTAATGTTAAATGTGACATCATGACAGCACGACTAGAAAAAGAGAGAAAAAAACATGGCAGCTTACTTGCTCAGGTCTGCATCTGAATAAAACACTGCACCTTTAGAGCAAAGTCCAAAGTGCCAATGTTTGGTCATAAAACATAGACCAAGTCTGGAGAAAACCAAACAGCACAAACACATCATACAGTACCAACTGGCAGCACGGTGGTGGAGACCTGATGTTTTGGGCTCATTTTGGAGCTACAGGACGTGGGCGCCTGTGCAGTCATCAAGCCATGAAGTCCTCTGGATACTAAAATATTCTAGAATCAATCGTGAGACCATCTGTCTCCAACAGAATGGCTGAAAAAGGAAAGATTGAAGAAAGTCCCAGTCAGAGTCCCCACCTGCATCTGACTGAAGTGCTGAGACAGCTGTGAATAAATCAATGTCTCCAAAGGCCCCAATGAACTGAAACTATGTTGCAGATTAAAGTGGACGTTACAACGTTACAAAGTTACAACATTACAAAGTTACAACGTCCAGTTATTGCTGCTCAATAGAATAGAATAGAATAGAATTCTAAAGTACATAAAAACCACTAAATAGCAGATTCTAGAGAGACGCAGAGCCTCGCATTGTTCACGTGGTGGTTCTACAAGCTACTGAACGCAGGGGTGGACTGCAGAGAGACCTATGAAAACGTCTCTTTTATGACTGTATCTCACATTTAGAAACTAAAGGTGCACACAGAGGTGCCAGAGTCGAGCTTGCCCGTGCTTCCCCTCTCTACCAAGTTTCATAAAACTCAGAGTGGTTATTGTTTAAACTTGCTGGCAGATAAACGCTGAACACGAGTTTCTCCACTGGGAAAAACTGGTTACCGGGCCAGTCCTCGTAAATGCCGCGAGTGCCGCAGTTTGACGTTAATGGAGCTGATTGTGAGCATGAGATATGAACTCTGTACTTTATAATGTCTAGCTTGTCGTGTTTAATTGGACACTAGACTCTAAGGACAGCGCTTTAAATTTAAATTGAACCCCAGAGTTTTGGAAACGCACTCAAAAATGTACCAGCTGTTACAGCAGCTGCACAAGAGGAGCTCCAACAACCGCGAGACGTCTTCAGGACAAACAAATTAACACTTTAACACACCGACATTTATCTTTTTTTTTTATACCATTTTATCATTTTTATGTTGCAGATAGAAAAAAACCTGCTTGCTCACTCTTCCTATGTCTATATTTTTTACTTATTTCTGTATTTATTTTGGGTGGAGTTGAGCTCTGCCACTGATTCGAAGCAGTGACGATATTTCACAGAGAAGTCAATATTTGGAGTTATTATAATAAATTAGGTTAAATTGCTCCCTGGTGGTCAGAGATCACACAGTGAGTATTCTTTCATTTTTGATATATCAAAGATAAGAACGGTAATGGCTCCGTCTTACATCTGTGGGACATGGCAAGATTGAGGTCAACAACCACTTATTTATTCATGACTGCCCATCTGTTTGATGCTGTGGAGCACATTTTATGGCGACTGTCACTCTCCCAAACTGTGTCCTCTGCCCTGCTGCCATCTATCTCCTCGTCTCTCCAGCACTGAGCGCTCTGCTGTATCTCCTGGAGGCTGCAGGGTAATTTAGTTGGCGGGCAGGGTGTTGGTAACGACGGGTAAGGGGCGTGGTTTCGCATCACCAAAAGAGTAATCTGACACCATCTGTGCCGTTGAGCACACAGGAAATCCTATTTTATTGGGAAAATGTTTTAATCAGCAAAAGGGTAGCGCTAGGAAAAAAACTGCCCCAGCAACAGCTTTTGGCTCATGTAAGCCAAGGTCATTCAGGGAGAGCCTGAGAGCGTTTTGCGTGTAAATGTTTATATGTGCAGGTTTAGATGGTCACCATGGGGCACCGAACGGGACACAAGCGTCACCAGACACTCGCCTTGCATTATGAAACATCACTCTCTCCCTCTCATGTCAGAAGTCGTTTATCTTACAGAGTCTTCAGAGCCTTGGGGGGGACAACTTTTCCTTTTGTAAACCCAAACCGTCCATAAAAGAGCGGAAAATTGAGAACAGGCTTTGATAATGTACAAACCCGTCCGTTTAAACTCGCTAAACCCAGCAGGCATGATTTGAATAGCGGCAGTAACGTGAAGGTCGGCGAGAGAGAACAAAGCACTTCTGTCACCTCGTGTTTCCAGCCAGATCAAACACGAACGACGGCCTCTCCTCCCAGATTCCTCCACACATCGCTGGAGTTGGAAACAGGCTTTTGATAATGAGTCGGCTCACCTGTTAATGAGATTATTGCACGATACCAGATTAAAGAGGCTTTTCGCATAGACCTGTTCTCCTCTCAGCGGGCCTTCGTCACCTCTGCTGGAGTGTGAGAAAGCAGCACCACAGGTCTAATGTGACAGAGGATGTGGAAGCCGAAGGAGCAGGGAACCATTGTCGCTGGCGTTCTCAGATTACCCATTCAAAGGGTTTAATAATCCCAAAAAGTACATGTAAGCTCCTCCGACACCTGAGAGTTAGGACTAAAATAACTGGTTTATTAATCACTGAGTCAATCAACAGTAAAATTATTGGCAATTATCTTGGCAAGCAACAGATGTCAAACATTATTTTATCCCTGCCTCTCAGGTCAGATGATTTGTTAAATCAAAGAATTCAAACTCTTTCAGTCTTGTAGCATGTTTACGATTAACCACCCTTCTACACCTGACGGGGTAAAAAAAAAAAGTATCAGGGTGAAAATTAACACCACCCAGTTGACTTTTTTGCCAAGTATTATAGTTTTCAGCAACTGTCACATGTGCCTCCTGAACAATGTCAGCCCATTCCTCTTTAACAAATCTCTCAGGATCCTGCAAATTCTCATTTGAGTTTTATCCATTAGCATGTACCTTGGTCTTCAGCCAGTTAATAACATTCACTTTGGTCTTGCAGAGTAAGTTCTTCACCAAGAGCGACACTTAGTCTGGGTCGCTGTAGCGTTGGAAGACATCTCAAAAACTGTGGATCCACTGGGAACTGTTCGACTGCTGCACAGTTGTGGTTATAAGGTGGCAGTTAGTTGGCACCACATGCGAATTCACTTTTTTAGCATCTTTATTTATAACGCACTTTACATCCAACAACGTTGGCCAAAGTGCTGCAAATATAAAACAAAGAGAAAACAGTTTAAATTACATATAGAATATCTTAAAAATAAAAATAATGTAATTAATAAGAAACATATTAAGAGACATCAACAAGTCCTGCTGTGCTGAAAGCCAAGGTAAATATGTTTTAAGATGTGATTTAAAAACACGGCTTCTGTAGCAATTTTATTTTTACATCTTGTTATATTGTTACACACATACATGTTTAAATGCTGTAAAAAAATGTTACGACTGTACAAACATATTACAAGTTCAACTCACTGATCATCTTGTTCTGGGGTTTCTGTTTCAGGCACATGTTGAATGTAACATGGGAACACAATGACTTCTCCTTCAACACTCATGGTTACCTGGTGAATCCAGCCATGATAATCATCACTCTGGACAGAGAGCGACAGTGGGACAAGGTAAGATGACGGCAGCTGCTCGACTTCACACCAAATGGCTTTTTAAATGTGTGTCTGATTATTTCTGAGTGGATAAACTAACAGTTGAGCTCACACAATGAGGAGTGTTTACAGGACACTGATGTCTTTCTCTGCATGCTAACAGCAGAGTGATTTCATACATCGCCGGTCTCTTTGTATAGACTAGTTAGCAGAATCAAAGCTCCACTGATACCAATGAAATAATGAAGGATCGCCTCCTAATCACACGCAGCACATTCACACCCCTCCCCCACTGATCCCACCCTACACTTCTTCGAAGGATATTAAAGTAAAACCCACACACTCGGGAAACTTTGCTTCAGCAAGCTGCCTCATTGAGATCGAAACATTCATTAAACCAGAGGGTGAATCTGATGTAACACTAGACTGGAGGGAGTTCACTTCCTCATCAGGTTCAACAGAAAGTGCTTAATTTCACATTATGCACAAAATGAAGAGACACCAGCAGTTCAAAGCTAATTATGTGATTTTAATGTTTTAAGATGTTACTTCCTGTAACTTCCAATATGTTATTGGGACTGTGAGAAAATGGGAAGCTGTAATGGCAACGTAAACAAACAATTTGTGGATATGAAAGGAGACTGAAGCCGTTTTGTGCATCATTCAACACTACACCAAACACTATTGTCTTTTGACTGTTGCCTAAATGACTTTTGTGTACATGAGACAATCAAATGTTAACAGTCAATCAATTCCAATTAATCAACTGTAAAACAAAAAAAACAATCAGAAAATAACTTAAAAACTCCTTTGTCCCACACGCCATCAGACTGTTTAACTCCTCTCTGGAGGGGAGAGGGAGGGGAAACAGGAGGACAAAGGAGGGGGGAACAACTAAGCTGTAGTGCCTCTTCACCTCACTGTGCAATACTTTTGTCAAATTTGTAAATAGTCAACAGTGCAATAGACTCAATACTTGAAATGTGCAATTCACTTGTATTTTTATTTTTTATTCCTATTTATTCTATTTATCCCCTTTGTATATTTTATTTATATTTGTCTCTGTATTTATATATGTGTGTGTGTATGTTGATATATATATATATATATATATAAAATATATATAACATATAATATACATAAACAAAAATACATAATATATAATAAATTTATAATTAATTTACTTTATTATATTAAAATATATAACTATATACATTATATATATATTACCACACATATTATATTTACACACATTTAAAAAACACATATATATATATACCACATATAAAATAACATAAAATCCACAAATATTAAAATTTATATATAATATGTATTATTAATATTATATTGAAATATAATAATAATTATAAAATTTTATTATATTATTTATTTATTATTAATGTTTAATTAATTTATTATTTGTTATATAATTCACCATATATAATGGTGGCGATAGAACGATAACGATATGTATCGCGATATAACTTTTACTCGATAGAGAAATTAAGCTATCGCGATAGACCTCGCCTGCTCTTGTCCTCAATAAAAAAAAAAAAAAAAAAAAGGTCAGCCAATCCAAATTAAGTAGCGCAGAGCCGAACCAATCACAGCCGCAGCGTCACGTCGCGTGACTTGTTACGTACAGCACAAGTGCCAAGCCGCACGTGTGTTTGTTTGGGAAGCAGCCAGCGGGTAATGGAGGAAATGAGTGTGCCGACTAGAAAAATCAACCGAGCGTGACCGAAGAGAAAACAGATGATGGTTCCAACGCCGGAGAGATTGTCGAACGGAAGAGCCATAGAAGTTCCGTAGTGTGAAGGTATTTCGGCTATTTCAAGTCTGACAAAAAACAGAGTAGCGTGCACTGTAAATTGTGCCGAAAGCAAGTCTGGAAATACAATAAACTGGTGCATGCGTCACACTGTGCGCCACGTTATTGTTTCGGTGAAATGAATTTCTACAATACTGTTAATTCTACTCTCTGCAGTGTTTAAATGCTTACATATACACACAGTTACTGTCCCGTCCACACATACGACTCGGTTCTGCTTCTATGCCCCAGCTTTGTTTACTTTTTCCCACCGAGGCTTCTAGACTTCTGATTGGCCAACATTTCTGCACGGTTAGGAATCTAGCGCCACCTGCTGCTTTGGCATGTTCATAGCAGCGTTTTCCTTCATTTCTCCTTTATGTGTGGACGGGATTATTTTTTAAAACGAAAACGGAAAATCTCCGTTTTCAAAAATACCCGTGTACGTGTGGACGTAGCCTCAGTCTCTGACTGGAAGCGCTAATTCGTCATTCGGCTTTTGTCAGACTAAAGTAACTGTTAAAACTGTTTGAAAAGCTAAGCTATACAACAAGGAGAGATTGAGAATTTCCTTTTAGTTCTCAGTTTATTTGATATTGACAAAAGTTAGTCAGTTTTGTCTGTTCTTCTGTAAAACAAACTAAGATTTATTTTTAGAATTAATATTTTGTTTCTAAGTGGAATTGACAGTTTAGTCTGTTTGTTTGTTCTATTTTGAAACTTAAACGCTTTAGCGGCTGCCTTTTGTGTAGTTTGCAATATTTGCCTTTATTTATCTGAAAAAGTCTCATGTTCCTTAAGTACATCTACCCTGTTGAACTTATTATGGGAAATAAATATTTAAATAAAAACAAGCTGCTGATTATTTCACATTTTACTTGTGAGCAACGGCACATTTAAATCTTACAAATATAGTTATTTGGCTTATATCGTGATAGATATCGTTATCGCCTGAAATGAAAAAAACATATCGTGATATGAAAAAATCTCATATCGCCCAGCTCTATATATATAAATATTCCGTAACTCTGTAACTTCTGTCGGTGCTGTGCTTTTTTGGAAATCGAATTTCCCAGAGGAACCCACCCGAGGGATTAATAAAGTTCTATCTAATCTAATCTAATCTACTTCTACTAGAGTCATCACAGAATTTTAAAGCTTCTAGAGTGCAGAGGCCTAAAACTGTTTTAGTCTGGATCAGTATAGAAAAGAAAAATTTAATAATTGGTGGCATAGCTTCATATTTCCATCAAACAAACCCAGCACAGAACAGCGCAGTCATCCAAAACAGCACACACGACACTGATTAAGTGAGGCAACGCATGGAAGGAGCTGCCGGGTTGTAAGTGGGTTACAAAGTGGCTTGCAGTCACAAACCAACTGTAGGAAAGTTAGAGCAGCCTAAACAGGACAGCCTGTGAGATCAGCCGACTGGATGCTGATCTGGTCTGCTATTGAGATCAGCTGATGTACCTCCAGTGCAACTAACTGTGGATTGTGCACATTCAGATATATATATAAATATTTAAGAAAAAGCAGCAATTTGCACATTTAAAAACTAGATCTGGAGATTATCTGGTATATTATCTTTAATCACCTTTGGAAACAGTTTTTAAAAAAAAAACGATCACTAAAAGATTTTTGTGTCTCTATCTTATTTTCTTTATATGCCATTTCTTTCTGAACAGACAAGTCTTTGCTTTGGTATCTTGTCCTGGTGCATTATTCTTTATGGCTCAGTCACACTAGAAAATAGGACAGCAACCTCCTTGAAACTAGAGGGAGGGGGGTGGGGGGTTGCTCCGTGTTTTCATTGAATTTGTTTGCAATCGAAAAACAAGAAGAAGCTGCAAGTTTCTGTGCAATCGGTCATGCACAGGTTGAACGCACAAGCATGCAACACCCTCAATCTCTAGGAAACAACTTCTGACTGTAGGCAGTTGCACAGGTTGCCTCCAACTAGGCAACTTGTCTCCAAACAATTGCGGTACAACTCTGACCTGATTCCAATTTTTAAGGTGAAGGTTTGCAAATAATGCTGTCAAATTTATACACGCATTCAAATTGGCAACACAATGCAATCAGTCGGGCTCAGTCTATGCTGATGAACACAACTCATCTGTGACATGCCTCTTTGCCAAAGACGACTCAACTGGTTGCCAACTGGTTGTATTCTGATTATACTCCTGTATAAAACCAAGGTTGCTGACACCTATGTAAAGTTGCAGCAACAGGATCACGATTTGTGGAGGAATTTCTGTTTCAGAACTACGAGTTTGTGGCGATGCAAGCAGCTAATGCATTTATGTTTAATGTCCATTTCTGTCTGTGTAGAAGGCAACGGACTTGTGATGTTTTTAGGTTTTATCACAGTTGATCTCCATCTCACAAACAGATTGCAAGTAACTGTCGACGTGACCCAATTCAATCACAAACTGACAGCAGACTCATAACTAATCGACTCTATTTTATTGCCTATTTATTCCCGTCTTGATGGACCAAAGTCACTTTGAAGTTAGCAGCTAGACCTGGTGCCCCTTCTGCATAGCAACGAGAAAATGAGATCACAAGTTCACAGCACACAGCTGCAATAATTTTAGTCACATCGCGGTGTCCGACTACTTTTTCCAAATCGTTCCATGCTCTTTTCTCTTTTTTTTTTTTTAAAGTAACGACCAACAGAAAACTTCCTGGAAGTGTAACTCTGTCTCCTCTAATATGTAAACACAATGCTAACAATAGAAGACTGAATCTAAATTGAATTCACTGATGTTAACAGGAACTGGATAGGTCATGTGACAAGCAGCTCAGCTGAGTTTAGCATAAGACGTTAGTCGTATTGACTCAGAAACACTTTCACATAAAATATGAAATGTGGGCGACAGACTTACATGTGTCCTCCCAATCACCCCCCGACTCCAGCACTGCTCATTCCCGGCGTGCTGATCTTTACATAAACCTTTCTGGGGAGGAAAAATACATTTCTCCCGTTCCCTGGAAGAACAACACTGCACTCATTTCACAAAATTTTGTCTAAGAAGTGTGAGGCAATCCATTTCGTGTGCTCCACTTTCTGTTGCCTCTATTCTCTGAAAGCTGAAAATCAATTCCACCTTTTGATTTCCTTTTTACCAGCCTTTGTATTGTACACATGCAGAGGCAGCCGGCCTGTTACATTCATACATCATCTCTGTACAAGCAGCCTCACAGTTTTTAGGCTGCTGCCTGGCATTACACGCCTCATATTTTTTAACTTATTAAAAAAACCCTATATCACTACAACGCTCTTATCGGCCAGGCCTAATATGGAACTTGCCAAGAGTCATTGTTCGGCTGTTTCCACAGATGTACAACTCAAAGTCATTTGGAAAGAGCAAGAGAGTGAGTGAGAGAGAGAGCATGACAAAAGAAAGTGGAGACTGAAAGAAAAGGGCCCTGAGAATGACGAGAAGTGTTCCTGTCATTGCCGTTATCTGCAATTTTTTAGCTGTATGCAACACTTACAAACCCTGAAAGTAGAACCTCACCACTGAAAAGGATTTAACTGGAAAGATGGATCCAGTTGCACTTTCCCGACAGATTTTCTGTGATATAAACAACCAGTTCTCTTTCCAGACAATTAATTATACAATTAAAACTCTCATTAACAGTGTTTGCTATAAATTAAGTTTCCCATTCCTTATTCTTGCTTAGGTGCTGCGTGAAACACAAACGTCTTTTTACTGATGTCTCAGATGAATGAACAATGAAGATTTCACAGTCTAAGCAGCCACAGGCAAAAGAGTTTCTTTTTTTGTTTCACTCATCTCAGTACGTTCTCTTGTAAATTGAAATTCTGAGTGACTAAATGCCCAAGAGTGGGATGATACTATAACAGTGGACTGATCGATATGACTGGCAGGAAAGAAGAATAACTGTGAGGTCCAGGGAGACCTGAGATATTTGCACTTTTCTGTCGACGTTCAGTTTTTTCCATTTCACTGTGACAGGCTTTACTGACTGGCATGATGAGATAGGATTGCCCCCCTTCCTGCATAAACAGCAGAGATTATGTGGGAGGAAAAACATTGTGTTCAGACTGGCGCTTTTTTTTTTTAGCTCTCCAGGAAGTTGATGACATTTACAGAAGCACAGTCAAGTGAACTAGAAAGAATTTTGTTTAAATATCAATAAGCTCACATTTGTCCCAAATACCTCACTGCCAGAAGTAAAACTCAAGTGGAATCGTTTCATCTACACGAAACAAAAAGGCGCCGACTATTTTAAAAATGTGTCTAGGTGATTGATGTAGATGGAGACAACCGAGATACATTGCTACACTACACTCAAGTATTAGGTTTACTGTTTTAAACTGGCAGAAATACAAAATAATTGCGACCACGTGCAATAATTTTACAGTCTCGCTGCCTTTGAAACGGGTGCTTTAAAGACGGTGATCGGGTCTGCGACTGTTCGCAGTCAGCTGCCGTCTTCGAAGCAATAACACGGAGTCAATCTGCGGTTAGTTGGATTATTAAATGATATTAAGTTGGCAGTTACATAAAGTGGCAAAGAGTCCAGAAATTCAATAACTCCTCCACAAATAGTGACATAACTCCTGAAGGACTGCGATTTAACTGAGAAATGCTTTTATGTAAGAACCACAAAAAGTTGAGTCGAGTTTCATGTCGCAAGGAGACGCAACGCAGATGGATTGTGTTCATGGTGCAGACTGGATCAGACTGACTGTGAAGTATCTGCAAATTGAGCAACAATTTGCAAACATGTGCCAACATCTCTGAATGTGATTTGTCCTGTTTTGTGCCATTAGTCTAGGGCAGGGGGTGTCCAACTCCAGACCCCGAGGGCCAGTGTCCTGCAGGTTTTAGACGTTTCCTTGATCCATCACAGCTGATTTAAATGGCTAAATTATCTCCTCAACATCTCTTGAAGTTCTCCAGAGCCAGGTAATGAACTAATCATGTGATTCAGGTGTGTTGACCCAGGGTGAGATCTAAAACCTGCAGGACACCGGCCCTTGAGGCCTGGAGTTGGACACCCCTGGTCTAGAGTAACTGAGTCATAAGGGGGCAGGAAAATCATTCATCGCGACAAAGAAACATCCCTCAAAGCCGCTGCTTTGTTTAAACAGATCAAAACTCGTCTTGGTGGTCATTTTCTTTCATTTGGTCCTTTGTATTTGAGATGTGATCATCCAGACCAGGGTCTGTGAGGGCTGGATGATGACTCTGGTCTGTCTGGTTAGCCGACCACATCCACACAAGTCAGTGTTTTGCAACAGGAGATGGATTTGCACGGCTAGCACTGGGCGTTGCTGAATTTCACTAACCTTAGCTCACTTGCCTGCTAACAACGTCATTAGCCATTAACCTGAAGCCACATCAGTTTTCATTTTGACCTCCTTGTAGCATTTGTGCTGGAGTCTGTGTTGTGCTGGGAGGCGGTCATTCGTTTAATTAGTGAGTAATGGACTCCATTTCTACCTCCCGGTAATTTATTGTTGCTCACTTTGGATTTTCACCGAAGCAAGAACGTTGGGAAACGTCTCATTTTCCAAGTCAATCTGCTCAAACACTGGGAAAAGTTGCATGTAGCACTTTCAGAACAAATCTTAATGACCATTTTCAGTTTTGTGTATGACTTTGTCTCTGCTTCTGAACATCATTTGTTGCCAAATCTACCAGGACCTGCATGTGTTTGCAATGCTGGAGTTTGCCAGATGACTCCGCACTGGTGCCGAGTTTGTTACCAGATTTGTCTGCGCTGCCATCATCTCCGTGAATCTGCAGCAATCCCTGTTCAAATGAGCGAGAGGGCAGATTAATGTCGTTGTTGTTTTCTGTTTGACGCTAGGATAGAATATTCTTCAAAGGTTTTAGCCAAAACTGTTGCAAACGAGACAGGGAGCCACACTACAATTTAGCAGACGTAGAACGTGCTCTGGATTGAACGCTGGTGTTTCTGGACTTGACTAATTCTTCATGTTTTCATATTGCCAGAGTGAAACGGAAATATTTCACCGCTGCTGATCCTCTACACTGGCCACGGTGTGTACTCTGGTCCAATGACAGCTGGGAGGGAGAGAGGAAAAATGGATGGATGTTTAAAATGTTTTAAAGTAGCGCCTGTTTACATTTGGGTTTCTGGTCCAACCCTCAGAGAGGTCACGCTTCTCTGGGAGTAAACTAACTGCAGCTGCTTGTACCTGTGAAACTGTGAAAGTCTGTTTGCCATTCATTTACTACACTGTGGCACGAAAAACAGCATTTAAAAATCAATCTGACGTGTCCAATGCAACATTCACTCCTTATTTGTGAGGCTGATTAAAGGAGGGTGAGTCAGAAGGGCCAATCAGTGGAGCTGAACAGGTCACGGCTTCTTTAAATAAGTGAGACTGAAATGTTTAATTTCTGATCTTTATTATGTATTCAGCTTGCTCGTGAATGCTCATTTCCCCACAACATCCAATTAAAATTAGCTCCCTGGTAATAAAGCGGGGGTGGAATTGCTTTCATTGCATTAGATGTATAATTGTGCTCTCTACATCCCCAGTGACAAAAAATCAATTTCCTCTAAACTGTCCAGGAACTAAAACTCTGCTCTCTGCGCCGGGACCAGACGCTCAAATCGCAACATGTCAAAACAGCACATACAGTTAGAGGATTGAGGACAAGTGTATTAAGAGTGGAGACTGAGATAGACGGGGTTACGCACTTCTGTCCTCACAGATGCATGAGGGGCTTATTTTCTCAATATTATACAATTATTTTTATGTAGTTTTGTGGCTCGGCTAAACAGATTTCCAGGATCCTCTGGAGTTTATTTATGTGGCTGTTCCCCCAAATCCATGTTTATTTCTGTGCCTCGCTGCTGTAACAAATCAGAACCACAGAAGCCATCTGGAGTTTGGTGCAGGGATTTTTCACTGCTTCGCATTAATCCACCCCCCTCCTCTCTCTGTACCTTCAGGTGGGCACCTATGAAATGGGGATCCTGCAGATGAGATACCCCGTCTGGCCGCGGTTTGGCAGCTACTTAGAGCCCGTGTCAGATTACAGGCACCTCACAGTGGCCACGCTGGAGGAGCGGCCCTTTGTCATTGTGGAGGCAGTGGACCCCGTGACTGGTACCTGTGTTAGCAACACCGTGCCCTGCCGACGACAGTCCAATAAGACCGAGACGTAAGTGAAGTGGCTCCAAAGATTCCTATTAAATCTTTCATTTTGCCTGCTGATGAGACAGATGTTGCATTTTCAGTGCTATCCTAATTAACGCTCACAGGGTGGAGTTAAAAGCTGAAAATCAGATGAATAGCATCACATATCATAAGTTGATTAATTACACATTTCACATTCAGTTGTTTTACAAGCCAATTACTCCAAACACTACAGGGTGTAACCACTGGGACAGGAGGCTAATGTAGCAGATGGGGAATGGAGTTTGTAATAAGAATATCGCTGACCAACAGAGTACGAGTTCGGACAACAGCTTGCAGAGCGCATTAAGCTAACAGCCAGGTTTAACCTTGGCCTTATGGCAAAGTTACATGTGAAATACATTTTAATTAGCTGAAGTCAATTTGTACTTTAGTCGTCACCCCGTCGACTGGGGTCTGTGCAGAGAACAATATCATACTTTACAGATTTTTTTATTTATCTTCCTGATTTTATTTTTTTTTACAATCGGCGTCCTTCTAACGATGCCACAGACAGCACTGTGCAAAAGATTTATGCAGGTGAGGAAAAAATGCTGTAAACAAAGTGTTAATCATTTATTTTCATCAATCAACAAAATGCAGCGAATGAACAAAAGAGAAATGTTTGCTGTGACCACCCTTTGCCTTCTTCTAGGTACACTTGCACACAGTTTTTGAAGGAACTCTGCTGGTAGCTTGTTCCAGACATCTTGGAGAACTAACCACAGATCTTCTGTGGATGTCATGTAATCCTGACACACTCGATGACGTTGAGATCAGGGCTCTGTGGGGGCCGTACCATCACTTCTAGTACTACTTGTTCTTCTTTATGCTGTAGATAGTTCTTAATGACTTTGGCTGTACGGTCGGGGTCGTTGTCCTGCTGCAGAAAACATTTGGGGCCAATAAACGATCATTTACACTTCTGAAAACTTTCTTTGTCTACAGCATTTTTTCACACCAGCCTAAAACTTTTGCACAGTGCTGTATATTAAATGTTTTCTGTTTCTTTATGGGCAATTCCACCTACAATTTTGGGCAACTTTGATTCTTACAGTAAATTATTCTACTCCATGTATGTTAAATATGTTGGCAGGATGAAGGTGAAAACGTCTAAAATAAAGTCCAAGACAAGGTTTATATTTTCATTCCATTGTACAGATTTGAGCTCGTTAACTTTGATCTTGTGTAGAAGTCATCGGTGACTCCACGTGTTTATTACTAGAAAGAGATAAATGGACCGGTTCTTACATGAGGGTTTCAACTCAAAGCGCTAACATACTTTTTAAACATGCTGTTGGTTTGTTATCAGTTTGCTAGGCAGCTGCTGTTGTGTCTTTATCTTCAGGTGCCATTTGGTCTCCCTGAATATACGGCAAGAGCTGGTCAGGTCATTTCAACATGTGTTGATCATCTCAGCCACACACACGTCTTATGTGAACCCACTTTACCGCACAGTCCCACATGCACACTCACATGTTAACGTGCCCATTTTAATTGATTCTGTGACTAACTTGAGAGTGCCATTAGGTGTGAGATTAAGAGACTCTTCCTCTGCCATTAGCGCATGCATGACTTCTTATCACTCAATGGTGAGATGCTCATTAGGCTGCTTGGCCAGAGTGCAATATCCCGGAGATCACTCTGTGACCCAATCAGGGAAATGTACGCGCTGCATGGAGGGGTATCAATTAGATGGGACGATTAGGCCATGTCATCAATCCCGAACACCTAGAGACTGATATTGGTGTTCATTAGTGGGGGGGGAGAAGCACAGGCTATTATCCATTACTGACAATGGCGTTAACGACATGAAGGGGATGGAAGATGAAGATCACGTCCCTTCAGTGTTATGAAGCGCTGGAGTGCTTAATCGCTCATGCTGACCAAATCATCCTGCCAGTACAGAAAGAGCGTAATTCCTCTTGTCAAACAATGAAACGTTTTCACAGAGCCGAACAAAAATGCAAGGAAAAAGAAGACTGAGGCAAAGAGGGGTCCAACGAAGCATCCGGCACTTTGGGCAGTCGAAGGAGAAACATCGGCCAATGAAGGGTGATCCTTGAGTACAGACGCACTGAGGGCTTCATCTATAGGTTTTATTTATCATTCATTTAGTCTGAATTGTCAGAGACTGGTGAGAGTGGCCACCTGAGTGATGTCTTCAGATTGCCTGTTCTGCCAATTCAAAAGTAATCCCTTTGCAACACTAACAAAAGACAGAGCAAAGCAGCATGCGCTTATATTCATGGAGTATTTGGAAAGGGAATGGCAACAATGTAGCCATCATTGTGATGTGTGAGGTGTCTTTTATCCATCACAGCTGATTTAAATGGCTAAATGACCTCTTCAACGTGTCTTGAAGTTCTCCAGAGGCCCGGTAATGAACTAATCATTTGATTTAGGTGAGATCTAAAACCTGCAGGACACTGGCCCTCGAGGCCTGGCCTAAACTATCAGATGTCCACTTCAACTACAAAACTATGCAGGAATACATTTATACGTGGAAAGGATTTAGACTCTAGAGATAAGTAAAATTTTGGAATAAATAAGTCTAGAGTTAGACTGATCTGAGACTTTCCCGCCTATCCTAGAAGAATAAATCCATAATGCAATTAAACATCGAGGCTGCAGAGCAGAGCGAGGACTACAGTCAGCACCTGCAGTCTGAGATTGTGGAGGATTGTGGAGGAGAGCTGCTTCTCCACAGATATCCTCAGCTGATTGCATTGGTCGGTCATCTCTGACACACATGTATTTACGTGTGTATAATCTCTAACCCCTCAAACAGAAAATCTACATCTGTGTAAAATACTGACCAACTGGAGTTAACTTATTTTCATACACTTCTCTGTATGAGAAAACACTTTTAGAACTTGCAGGTTACACACATTTTAATATGCATTCCCGATAGTGGTCGGCCAATTTCCCCCTCAGCCTCTTGAAAGCACCATCTTTCTTTATCTGAATCTCCACAACAGTTCCAAATTCCCCTTCAGCACTAAACATGATTACAACTCAGACCCATGTCAGTGCTTTCTAAATGAGAAGCCACTGGTCATGCAGATTCTCCGTTTCAATCCCTCAACCCCTGGGCCATGCACGCAGCTTGCCAAGCAGACCATCTGTGTGATTCACTCACGCGTCCTCAGAGAGGCCTGACAAACAGACACCGGCGTCCGGCTTGGACTTGGCTAAAGCAGCTCGCAGCAGTTACCACGAGCTCTTCCTTTTGAGTCGCGCACGTTCTCCTGTTGGATCAGAAAAATCTCGCTTCCTCGCTGTCTTTGAACAGCAGGGAGCTGGTTCTACCTCAAAGCACTCTGGCAAAGACTAATTCAGAGTTAATGCCCTGGTGAAGGTAGTATTGACCTGAGAAGATAATGTCATCACACATTAGCTGCATTCGATGGGAGTTAGATCATAAGATGATTTCATTAAAGCTGAGACTGAGTGCAGCAGCAGATGCGCTCCCGGAGCCTGAGAGCCAAACGATCTATACGCAGTACTAGAAAGTTGCACTAAGTAAATTTACACATTGATGGTCTCAGAGGATAGTGTAGTCTCAGCACTCCCTCATATATACAGTGTGTTTACCAGCTCACTGCTCAGTCACAATAGGAGTCCTTGTCATGAACAGAGCTGCCCCATGAGGTTGTTGAGATGTCTTACTGAAAGGTAAAAACCCCCAAAGACCACCAGGAAACCTGACCTGCTTCCTTAATCCTCCACCTTCATTAAAAAAGCTCCAAAAACGCCAAATTTAGGATATTAAATGACAATCACGTTTGTTTTTCTACAACTTAATGAACTCTAAAAAGCAGAAGGCTTGTTTCATCGCTGCATCTCAATACGTGCTTTTCTGTTTGTTTCCTCTTTGTGGCCCACGAGTCCATAAAGCACCTTTATCTATTCAGTGATATAAAACAGATTAGAGCTCGCTCACTCCACAGGGAACCCCAACCATAATCGAATTTTTGGGGAGGGTAATGCAGGTGTATTCATAAAGTGAAAGGCTATTTCAAAGTACTGTCCAATAAGCCTAAAAGACATTTCAGTAAAGGCAAAATAACTTGACGTACAGATGTAAAGGAATTAAAAATAAGAGTGAAGAAGAAACTTGTCAGATGAGAGGTAAAAGGTCCAGTCGCTTTCTTTCCCAGCTCCTTAAACGTACAAGCGTTTTTTCAAAGTTTGCTTTGCTGCTTCTGCACCTTCAGCAGGTGATAAACGGTATCAAATTATACTCTGTTATTTATTTATGTGTCGACTGCTGTGATGCAATTTCCCAACTTCTGGGATATATCAATTATGTCTTATTGTTGTCTTCAGATTACTATCATCATTATTATGGCGATCGTGGCTCAAGAGTTGGGAGTTCGCCTTGTAATCGGAAGGTTGCCGGTCCGTCTCGGTCGTTGTGTCCTTGGGCAAGACACTTCACCTACCGCCTACTGGTGGTGGTCAGAGGGCCCGGTGGC